AGATGGCAAAGAACTCAAAAGGCATACACCTAAGAGTTTAATGACAAAATAATATAACATTTTTTAACAGTTGATATTTTGTTTATGTGTATCATAACTAATAGTAATGGCTATAATTTATCACATTTGAAAAGCAATCAACACTTCAAGCTATACAAAATTAAATTAATTGAGTCTCTTTGTCACCCTGGCAGAAGTTGATAATTACATCATTATTAATTGTGTGGCCAATAACCAAAATACTTTTTAGCTTATTTTGGTTTAAGATATGTTATATATTAAAATCTATCATATACAAACAAAGTGAAATAAAACAAAATTAGAAAAAATGAAGTTAATGTATTCAATCTGAAAAATTCTTTAGAGAATGCTATTTTCATTGGGAGAATAATCTCTTTGAACTAATCACTGTTCTAGGTTTCTGTATATTTAATTCATTTAACATCACCACAATCAGTGGAGACATGTGGGTGCCATCCTAATGTGATAGATGAGGCACTGAGGCCTACAGGGGTGAAGTCACTGGCCCAGGAGCAAAGAACCAGGGCCAAGACTCAAATCCAGGTCTATTTTAATCAATGAATAACTGTACTCTGAAACAAAGATGTTATAGATGAGTTCAGGAAACACCTTTAACAGTTATATGTTCAAACATTTGGAAAACAAAACATTCTTCTTAGAAATCATGTCTTAACTTTTATGATCAAGAGTTTCCTGAAGGCTACCTTTATGTTAATTGCTTTCTTATTCACAATCGCCAAGATATGGAAGCAACACACACACACACACACACACAAACACCCTTTCAGAATGTCTCACCTTCTGTGGGCAATCGCCCATCAATAGACAAGTGGATAAAAAAAGTTGTTGTACATATGTACAAAGGAATATTATGCAGCCATAAAACAGAATTAAATCTTACCAATAGCAACAACATGGGTGGACCTAAATAATATTATGCTATAAGAAATAAGTCAGAGAAAGATATATACCATATGATTTCACTTATACGTGGGAACTAAAGAACAAAGTAAATGAACAAATTAAACTGAAACAAACTCATAGCTACAGAGAACAGACTGATGGTTGCTAGAAGCAAGGAGGGATTAAGGGGCTGGATATAAAAGATGAGGGATTAAGAAGTGAAGTGGGTAGTTACAAAATAGCTATAGGGATATAAAGTATGGCATAGGAAATACAGTCAATAGTATTCTTTCTTTTAAATATATTTTTATTGATTGCACAGAGGAAAGGAGAGGGAGAGAGAGATAGAAACATCAATGATGAGAGGGAATCATTGATTGGCTGCCTCCTGTATGCCCAATACTGGAATCAAACCTGCAACCCAAGCATGTGCCCTTGACTGGAATCAAACCCAGGACCCTTCAGTCCACAGGTCGACACTCTATCCACTGAGCCAATCCAGAGAGGGCAATAATCTATACTAATAAAAGCTTAATATGCTAATTAGACCAGACATCCTTCTGGAGATCCTTCTGGACAATCTTCTGGACGAAGCCAGGGCTGTGAGGGAAGCCCAGGTGCCAGAGGGAAGCCGGTGCTGGCAGTAGGGGGAAGGAAGGCCTATTCTTGCATGAATTTCATGCATTGGGCCTTTAGTATTCTAATAACTATGTATGGTGTTAGGTAAGTACTAGACTTAACAATGGAAACATTTTGTAAAATATATGATTGTCTAACCACTGTGCTGTACACCTAAAACTAATACAAAATAATATTGATTGTAAACTATAACTGAATAAAATAAAGTAAGATTTTTGTGAAGGCTAAATAAAACTGGTGCGTATCAAGAGTTTCAGAGGAGCAAAACCGGTTTGGCTCAGTGGATAGAGTGTTGGTCTGTGGACTGGAAGGTCCCAGGTTCCATTCAGGTCAAGGGCATGTACATTGGTTGCAGGCACATGCCTGGTAGGGGGAGTGCAGGAGGCAGCTGATCCATGTTTCTCTCTCATCGATGTTTCTAGCTCTCTATCCTTCTCCCTTCCTCTCTGTAAAAAATCAATAAAATACATTTTAAAAAAAGAGTTTCAGAGGGTCCCTAAGCAGGGTGTGGCTCAGTGAATAAAACATCAGCCTACAGACTGAAGGGTCCCAGGTTCGATTCCAGTTAAGGGCACATACCCAGGTTGAGGGCTGAATCCCCAGTAAGGGTTGTGAGGGAGGCAGACTATCAATGATTCTCTCTCATCATTGATGTTTCTCTCTGTCCCTCTCAATTCCTCTCTGAAATCAATAAAAATACATTTTTTTAAAAAAAGAGTTTCAGATGTTCCTCTTGGAGCAATCATTCTTCCATCTCTTCTTGACCCAAAGAATGTTCCCAAAAATAGGCCAGGGACAGAGAGGAATGAAGAAAGTGAAGGGTCATTAACCACATTAGTTTCCTTAAGAGCAGTTTTGATGTCATTTATCTCCACCTTCCAAGAGTACTGGGATGGCTTTGCATAGACAAATGAAAAATATTCTCCGTTAAATCTATGAAGATACTAGAAAATGTTACTGAGAAAGAATTATGTTAAGCATTACTTTAACTCAAGCTAATGTTCTCTCCTAGCAAGAATGGCAATTATGAGGTGATATGCAATAGGACAGTTGGATGGAACTGACCTCTGTTCTATGTATGTACAAATTAGATTATAGATCCTCAACAAAATTTTTACCAGATGATAATGAATGCATTATCACAAGAGTCAAGCGAATAGTAGCCCCCAACTCTGGAATGAGGCTGTATTCTTGGCTGGATTGTGACCACTTAATAAACTCTAAAGAGTTTGGATCAGAAGCTGTGACACTCCCTATTATACACTTCTGAGGGAGCTGAAAACCTGGCCAGTACTAGAAAGAAACTTGGTTCTGACTTTCTCTCAGAGTGCCCCTATGATATCTACCTTTTCATAAATGAAGCAACTTAAACCAAGTTATACAGAGAATTTGATTCATGTCTCCTTGTCTTCCCTATCACCTTGTTTCTTCCTTGTGGCAGTCACATGATTGCCTTGGCCTTTCCCAGGGCAGTAGAGAAAGACTCTCCCACTTCTCCAAAACTGCACAGGGTGGTGGTGGCCAGCTGAATCTCCCTTTAATAAGGTCCTATGTAATGGGGGAGAAATTAGCATGATGAGAGGAAAAGTGTTGCTTTTATCTACTCTGCTCCCTACTCTGCTTACTCCTGTGCCTGATAGAGGTTCTCCACATTTGAGTGACAGAGCAACTGACCCAATGTATTGTCTCATCCTATACCTAACTCTTGTATTTGTCAATAAAAGAAAGTCTGTGGCTGCTTATTACTTTGTAATACACCCTTATGAATATTCTATTACTAAAAATATATAATAACCTTACAGGAAAATTAGAAATTTGAAAACTGATTCTGTATTTAATTATATTAAGAAAATATTAAATTTCTATTTAGGAGTGGGACTGGTATTGTGATAATATCAGGAGATATATATATATATATGCCTAAGAGACCAGAACACCAAAATGACCTGAATAACTGGCTGCTACGACACACATTGACCACCAGGGGGCAGACACTTAATGCTGGAGCTGCCCTGGGTGATTAGTGCACTCCCACAGCCAACCTCCCATGGCTGGCCAGCCTCCCTTGGTTCCTCCCCCAATCCGGCAGGCCCTATCCGGCAGCCGAGAACCAGTAGGAAGGCCCTGGCCAGCAACCAGAAGGCCCTGATCAGCCCTGATCACCAGCCAGGCCTAGGGAACACACCCATGCATGAATTTAGTGCACTGGGCCTCTAGTAAATAGATAAAATGAAATAAACAACATTATATTGTTAATGGTGATTATCTCTGGGTGGTGGTGTTATTGGTCATTTTATTTTTGTGGGGTTTTTTTCTCTGTGTATTTTCTTCAACTAATAAGTATAATATGATCAGAAAAATATGGCATGAACTATTAAAGCTAGACTTATTGTTCTTTATAGGTAAAGGATTATATAGGGCAACATAACATCTATAATAATAAAAGAGTAATATGCTAATTAGACTGGGCATACTTCCTGACAAAGCCAGGGACATAGGGAAGCCAGCTCAGGTCCTGGGTGCCTGCAGGTGGCTGGAGGAGGGAAGCAGCCTGGGTCTCAGATGCCAGAGGGAAGCCAGTGCCAGCAGCCGGGGAAAGAAAGGGCTATTCTTGCATGAATTTTCATGCATCTGGCCTCTAGTATAAGAAACTATATATTATGTTAATTATGTCTGATCAAAATATACTATATATTAGTATAGATTATAATTAATATATAACTATATATATTAAATTTAAATGTTATAATTACATATAATATACTAGAGGCCTGGAGCACAAAATTTGTGCATGGGGGTTAGTCCCTCAGCCCTGCCTGCACCCTCTCCAATCTCAGACCCCTTGGGTGATATCAGACCATGGGTTTAGGCCCGATCCCTGTGGGTCATCCCTCTCACAATTTGGGACTGCTCACCTGCCTGATCACCCCTAAACACCTCTGCCTGCTGGCCTGATTGCCCCTAACTGCTTGCTCCCCTGCTGACCTGATCACTCCTGTTTGCTCCCCTGCTGGTATGACTGTCCCTAACTGCCTCTGCCTCAGCCTCCACCAACGTGGCTTTGTTCAGAAGGAAGTCAGAGGTCCAGAAGATATCTGGTTGATGTCTAATTAGCATATTACCCTTTTATTAGTATAGATAATATACAGTTACAATATAAAAACTAATATCTATAATTAAGTTCAAGAGTAATTTAAATTTTCTTTGAAAGTATATGTAAGCTTTTAAGCAATGTTGATATAAAGTAATTTCAAGAGAATTTTAAGTCGAAGGGAATTAATTCCAAGGGAATTTTAAATTGTCACTAAACATATATATTAAGCTTTTAAATAATGTTGATATAAAATCCTTTGCACGGCCACCATTATGTATCCTCGCTCTTGCCTTCGTGTACTCAATTCCTTAATAATCACTTTTCATTTTCTGTCTAATTCCAGGTATATCAATGCCAATCCCAGTCTTTGGGCTACAGGATGATTCCAAGGTCTTTAAGGAAGGGAGTTGCTTACTCGCGGACGATAACTTTGTCCTGATCGGCTCCTTCGTGTCATTTTTCATCCCCTTAACCATCATGGTGATCACCTACTTTCTCACTATCAAGTCACTCCAGAAAGAAGCTACTTTGTGTGGGGGTGACCTTGGCACACGGACCAACTTAGCTTCTTTCAGCTTTCTTCCTCAGAGTTCCCTGTCTTCAGAAAAGCTCTTCCAGCGGTCAATCCACAGGGAGCCAGGTGCCTACGGCAGGAGGACCATGCAGTCCATCAGCAATGAGCAAAAAGCTTGCAAGGTGCTGGGCATCGTCTTCTTTCTGTTTGTGGTCATGTGGTGCCCCTTCTTCATCACGAACATAATGGCCGTCATCTGCAAAGAGTCCTGCAACGAGGACGTCATCGGAGCCCTGCTCAACGTGTTCGTTTGGATCGGTTACCTCTCCTCAGCAGTGAACCCCCTGGTGTACACCCTGTTCAACAAGACCTACAGGTCAGCCTTTTCCCGGTATATTCAGTGTCAGTACAAGGAAAATAAAAAACCATTGCAGTTAATTTTAGTGAACACTATCCCAGCCTTAGCCTACAAATCTAGTCAACTCCAAAAGGGACAGAAAAAGAATTCAAAGAAAGATGCCAAAATGACAGGTAATGACTGTACTATGATTCCTTTAGGAAAACAAAATTCGGAATATGCTCCCACAGACAATATCAATCCAGTGAATGAAAAGGTTAGCTGTGTGTGATAGACTAGTTGCCATGGCAACCACGGAGGACACACTGAACAGGTTTTCACCTATCTGAAAAAAAAAAAAAAAAAAAAAGAAGATAATAGAGAGGCTGGAAAAAATTAGGCGGGTCTAGTAAAACCAACAATAATATCTAGATGCCTCATTTTATTCCATCAGTTAAAAGAAGGGTTAATGCCACAAAATGTGCACTTCAAAAATGTTCTGACAGCATTTCAAGCTGTAGTTTTATGATACTTATTTTTAACATTGTAAATTATGTCTTTAAAATAACTAGCTTTTATTGTTTAATTATAATGAGGCTATAAATAAATCTAAATTAACTTCTATTTTCAAGTGGAAACCTTGCTACTATGTTGTTAATTGATGGCATAAATTGGTTACTTGACCTTTGTGAATAAAAATAGCTATGTATAGTGAAAAGTTTATTGAATATAATGGCCTCTTACAGAACAATTCTCTTTAAAGCTTACTATGATACATATTTGGAACAACAAAAATAAGCCATTAAGAACAGTGTTATGAAGTCGGTATTGCTCAGATAATTAAATGAAATATTTGACAACTTTTCCATAGATGCCATTTTGAAATATTTGCAAACTTGCTGTCATCTGCTGAATTTTAGGTTAATTCTTCTCAGAAGTGAAAAAGATTTTAAATGTTATTTCATAACTATTGCTGCTTTTTCTACTACCTGTGCTTTACTCTGAATTTAAAATGTGGTTTTGTTTAGTGTTTGTTCTACTAGCCATTCTATCAAAATTATAATTTAACATTATCAAATACATTTCTAAAAATTGCTTCTCCTAAATGGCATCATAGAGGTGTTTGGTAACTTGCTTCTTATAACTGCATCATGCATGCTCTCTTACAGCACTGAGTCATATTGATGTAACTATGTCAGGACTTAGGAATAAACTCAGGTTTTTGGCTACTGACAGCAGTAGTCTTAGACTTCTCTGTAAAATGCAGATGTCTTTCCTGTGGGCACCCATCCATCAGGTAAACTGATGCTTTCACAGCAATCAATCTATTTTATTTTCTGTTCAGCTTTGGTTTCACAATCATGTACCAAGTGTATACTATCTATGAGGAAATGTCTTAAATACTAAGGATATAAAAATAAAATAAGATCTTTGCCTTTATTTTTTTAAATCTTTACTGTTGAAAGTATTGTATATGTCTCCCCTTTCCCCCCATTGACCTCTTCTAGCCTGCTCCCACCCCCACCCCCACTTCTGTCTGTGTCCCTGGGTTATGTATCTATGCATACAAATACTTTGGTTGATCTCTTCCCAACTACCCACCCTACCCCACCTTCCCTCTGAGATTCCTCAGTCTGTTGCATGCTTCTATGTCTCTGGATCTATTTTATTCATCAGTTTATTTTATTCACTAGATTCCACATATGAGTGAAATCATGTGATACTTATCTTTCTTTGACTGGCTTATTGCACTTATAATGCTCTCCAGCTCAAAGAAAATGACCTAATTGGAATAGTCCTTGTCAAAAATATTAACAGACTTTGCTGAAACCGGTTTGGCTCAGTGGTTAGAGCGTCGATCTGCGGACTGAAAGGTCCCAGGTTCGATTCCGGTCAAGGGCATGTAATTGGTTGCGGGCACATCCCCCATAGGGGGTGTGCAAGAGGCAGCTGATCAGTGATTCTCTCTCATCGATGTTTCTAGCTCTCTAACCTTCTCTCTTCCTCTCTGTAAAAAAATCAATAATATATAAAAATATTAACAGACTTATTTTGAGAATCAATTCAATTTCTTTCTTTCTTACTGGTTCAGAAAGTGGTTGTTTTCTACTCTGAGGATAATTTTCTCAGTAAGTTTCCTGATGAGTATCAACCAAACACAGTAGAAGGAAAATACCACTTGAAGTCAAAATTTACAATTAATTCAGAAATATGTACTTCAACATGGACCAAACCTGTGACTACCAAATTTTTGGGGGGAAAAAATTTATTTCACTTCGTTAAAAACTAACTGATTTATTTATCACTTATATTGTACTTCCTAATTTTTTTTTAAAAAAAGCAGTAATATAATATTTTCTATTGAATGAGAATTACATTTTTTTCTCTAAACCATTTGAAAAATATGTAGATTTGAAAGCTAAAGAACATGATAGGTGCCATTGTATAATTTGGAAATGCATTATGGCTATCCAAAATAAGTCCTTATAGATATATTGAAAGGTGTTTAGTTCAAAGCTAGGAATTATAGTGAATCACTAGTACCAAGACTGCATTGGATCTGAACTACTTTAATGATTATACCATACTAACAGATAAAAATATACAAGTGTTAAAGTTTCTGCTGTTATGCATTTTGCCTTAGTTTATAACTCTGCACATCTCATTATATATTAAAGACTACAGATTCCACCCATATACTCAATCTTGAGCAAAATGGGCAAAAATATTACCTGACAGATGTCTTTTGAGAGTACATATATATATAACAAATGTGTATGTTTTTCTTTCCATATGTATATAGATATAATTCAAGGGTATATTATAGGCAAACATGTATCTATATACATGTGCAGACATGTTCCCATGCACTTCACTCAATATTTACATATTTATATGGAGGAAAAGCAAGTCATTAATGAAAACACTCAGTATATATATATATATATGTGTGTGCATGTTTATATTATGTTGTTTTAAATGTGAATTCATGTTGTAATGTTTCTATGACTTTCCATTGCTGTCAAAGCAGATTAAAATGTAACAAGTATCAGTATTTAAATAAACTGGAAGTTGACCTAATTTTATGGAAAGACTGTAGAGCAATTCTATGAAGGTTGGGAAAACAATGTTCCTTCTATATAGTTGATTGATCTTAGATAAAATGCTATCTTTCGGTCCTTTGTTTAGTCCAGAAACTTCCTGACTACTAAGGTTTTTTAAATACATTCCTTACCCCAGTGAAATACAGTCCTTGAATGATTAATTGATCTGTAATTAAAGAACACAGTCCTAGTCAATACTTTAAAATAAAGTAACCAATTTTACTCTGCGTTAAGTAGAATAGCAGATTATTCTGTATTTAAGGAAAGAAATTAAATGCCATAACTAGGGAAAACTCTGTTTAAGACATACTCAATCCCTTGGTTGCAGTGCCATCTCTTGGTCAGTTTTTAAACCGCTTCTGTAGCTAAATGAAACTAAATTATTGTACTGCTTTTGACAAAGGGTGCTTCTCCCATTTGTGCATCAATGAAATGTATTTATAAAGTGTTAAATTATTCTGTGCCATATATAAAAAAAGTTGATATTATTATGTAATTATTTTAATCAAGTCTATTCTAAAATATTTCAAGAAAGAATGAATACTGTAATTGTAAATAAAGTATACTAAAAAATAAAACATAATTTTGAAAGTGCATAGCTGTGTCTAATGAAGACAGTTGCTCTAATCTGTCCAGGGTGGGAACTCCAAGTATCATAAAAATACTTAGAGAGCACAGAGCTTGTGTTCCTGGAGCTCAGGCTCACTTGGTTGAGTTAGATTTATGGTCGTGATCCAGTTTCCAGTTATCTTCAGCAGACAAATGCTCCATATTTGACCACATTTCTGGATACACATAGCCTAGGAACACAGATAACCAGCTGCTACTATATCCTCCGTACATGCACATATGTGCCTGTGAATACACTTGTACAGGTGTACACCAAGACATGCACAGTGCATTCATACACACACACACACACACACACACACACACACACACACATTTTCACAGGAGCTAGTTTCCTGAATTAGAGTAAGTCAAGGAGACACTGTATCATTGAATAAACTGGAAAGTTGCCCTCATTCATCATATAACCTTTAAATATGGAAAAATTCTATGAAATAGGAATAGTAGGTATCTTTTCCAGGTGTTTATTGCTCTATGTATTAAGTACCTGCCATGTTCAGGCATTAAGCTGTTCTCTTGCTTCACCTGATGGAATCCTCATGACAACCCTACAAGGTAGGTATTATTATTCCCTCTTTCTCATAGATAAAGAAACAGATTTAGAGCAGTTGGTAACATGACCAAGGCCACAACACTGGCATGTTGTGGCAAAAAAAAGAGGCAAATTCAAGCCTGTGTTATCTGACTCTGAAGCATAAATGTTTTCCCTACTCAATCTAGTCAGGAGAAAGAGTATTGGGTTCAAAACCAAAAGATGCAATTCCCCATCCTAGCTTTCCTACTCACTGATTATATAAACTTGGGCAAGTCAATTAATAGCTCTGTGTCTCAATTTTATGTCTCTGAAGCTACTAGAATCTGACCTGGCTAGTTGAAAAGTCACTTAAATGAGTCCATGGCTACAGCTGTGCTTGGTAACCTGTAATACACTCTGTAAATGTTATGAATGTGTTGTTATTAAAAAGAAAAAGAACAAAGTATCTATATATTATAAGCCATCAGAGCAAAGTCTAGACAAAATTATGAGCTAAGCAGTATTATTATTCAACAACTTCTATTATTCTTTGTGCATGCCTATCATTTTCAAACTTTTGCTTCTGCTTTTTCCTCATCACGATACAGAGTTCACTTTCTTTGTACTCTTTTCTTCTGCTTCCATCAAATCTTACTTATATTCTCTCAAGCTTCTCCTCTCTGGTAGAACACTAATAAGTAATTCAGGCTGATAACCATTGTCTGTGACTGGAATCCCTGTAGCTGTTCATCATAATGATTTGGTGAAAACCAAAGGCAAAAGCAAAAATGTTAAGCACCAGAAAGACAAGTGAGAAATAAATTGGGGCATAAGAAATGTTCAAATAACCCACAGAAAAACAAGTAACTTCAGACATAATTTATGTAAACTTTTAGAACTTAACTTTGAATATTAATTTACAATAATAATGATTTTAAAAATCTGTATATTATGTTCTATATTGGGAACATTAATAATATAACTAAGCCCTTTCTCAAGTTTTATAGTCAACTAGAGGTCTCGTGCACAAAATTTGTGAACAGG